AGACAGTTGGTGAAACCGCGGTGGTGAGGACACTGCTGGACCGAGGGACAGGTAAGTGGCTGTATTTTAAAAGTTACAGTTTTTGTAGCAGCTGGCCCCGATAGGCCAAAAACCCCCTGCCTAAATTTTTGGGGCAGCCCTACTGGGTATTTGGGACACCCACGGAGGGAGAAAGAGTGAACTGCAGGATGGATGGGGGTGGGTTCAGACACTCTTGTGCCCCAAACATTAAAAAGCCCCAGGAACCATATCTGCAACATATGTCTGCACCACAGTAGCCATTGCCACATACTAACCCAGGGAGGGGGACCACATGCAGGATAAATGCAAAGGCACTGGGGAACCCCTTGGATCTAACACCCTGCCTATAGGTGGTGATAGGACATCCAGGAGCCCCATGGTCCCAGAGTAGTACCCCATGTCACACCTGACACTCCTCACCCACAATAGGGTGGGGGATAGGAATCAGGGAGCGCAGGCCATTAGGGGAGAAGGAGAACCCCGCAGGGCCGACCACCTGCACCCCACCCTGTGTTTGGGGAGGGAAGGACATCCACTTACTAATCCAGTGGAACTAGCAGGTGTCACTCCTGAGACAAATCCTCCTCTCCACTGAAGTGGGGAGGCTGTCAGCCATAGTAAGACTGTGATGTGGACTACAGGCGCCCGGTCATATGTGTCCCCACGAGGCGTTTAACTCGTCGGCCTGCCGGTCTACACGCGCACGCTGGCCAGACTTGGATAACCACTGGATCTAGAATATTGAGTCCATCGACCAGCTCAGCTGTTTATTGAAGATTGCTTCAGGAAAAAAAAATCAGCTAAGGAACCACAAGTCCTTACTCCTGAACAATAGGCAAGGAAAAAACAAAAAAAAAAAAAAACCTGAATTGCCTAGGCAGAGAACGGGGTTTATATCAGCCCGGACTGCCCATAGGCAGTGCAGAGTTTTATTCTGCCTACTGTCCTACTCCTGTAGGTGGCGATATAACCCTATGGTCAAGAATAAAAGACGCTGTGTTTATCAATGAACGCAAGAGAAATATAGTTAACCTCATGAAGCTGGAGAAGGCAACATTTTACATATTTTTCTGGATGTGCTGGGTGACATTTCCATTACAGTTTTCCTGCACTCAGGGTTTAGGGACTCTTTAAAATACCCTGTACTGACAGCACAGGGCTATTGCCTTCTCACACAAAGTAGAGTCCTGGCTTTTCAGCAATCTGACAAGTGCCCCCAAACAATATACTGTAAGAAATGCTGTTTATTGGCACAGTGTCTGAGGAATTGAGGGGGTTGGAATTATGGTCCCCTGGAGAGTCTGGAAATTGCTTTGTTAAAGGCTCTGTTCACACCTGTGTTTGAAGAAAAAAAAGAAAAACCTAATTGCATCTTCAGTGCACTCTCATGAAAATGCACTCTAACGATCAGAAAATCGTACAAAAATACCGCTTTCGAAGCAAACGTACGGAAATCTGAGTGTTAGTACACAGCTTTTGTCTGAAATTATTCAAAGGGACAAGCACAAAAATTTTTCTCTTGTACTCTGCCAGCCAGGATCTCTCCAGAGTCGAGACGTCAGCCATCAGTGGGCTTTAGTCCACTGCCAGCTAAATCTGGGTCACACGAGAGCAGCACCAAGTGCACTCCTGTGACTCACAGAAGTATAGCCAAAAAGCTTTGGCCCTACTTCATTTAACCTTTTTGCAGCCCCCCCCTACATATGAAAGTAAAATGCACATCGGGAGAATCTATGCATGAAAACATCGATTGCACATACACGTTACATATCGGAGTGAGAGCAACATTTCTAGCACCAGACCTAGACTAGATGCACTAGACCTAAACTGATTATTTTTTTGGTGACACTGCATTACATTCTTTCCTGGCCTCAATGGCCGGGGATACTGACAACAGGTACCCAGAAGTTACATCATGCATGTCAATTTCAGGTCAGGAAGGAGAGTGAACGAAACATTCACTCTCCTTCCTGACCTGAAATTGACATGTATGATGTAACTTCTGGGTACCAGATGCCAGTCTCGGGCCCGCAGATGGGCAAGCGGAGCCTGGGATATAGCGGGGGTGGGGGGGAGGGGTTTGGGCACTTTACTGGCGCGTGTAGAAGCAATTGTGCAAATCTGCCCGAATGCGTCCACCTGACAAGCCTTGCTGCTTGCTCTAAATGTAGAAGGAAAACCATTTGTTCCAAGCATTGGGCGATAGGAATTCTCTGTACTGAAATTTTGAGTTTCCTAGAGCTTTGTGGTAATATTGTGTGACATAAAAAAATGGAACTACCACCATTTATTCTCTAGGGCAATGGTCTCCAAACTCCAAACCCTTTGCTTGTCTTTATCCGGCCTTTATCCAGTCCCCTATTTCTGCTACCGATACAAGACACTATTCTGCCAAATAATCAACAATGTTTGTGGGGTTCCCCCCCCCCCCCATTTTTTTGCACATTTAAAGAAATCATTAAAGATTACACAAAACCCCAAACATATTTTCTGAAAGCAAACACTCTAGAGAATAAATAACAGCTCCAATTTTTAATGTCACACGATATTACCGCAAAGGTAATAAAAAAACTATGAGGTTGCGTCGAGCAAATAGATACCAAACACCTTAAATTTGTGTGCACCTATAAAATGCAGACAAACTTCAGTACCCTATATTTTCTATAGTCGATACTCCAAAAGCCCCTACAGGTCATCAGTTTAATGTTACGGAGGAGGTTATTATTGCGGTCACATAGAACGTGTATCCCAATTGGTGTTTTCACGCATAGGCCCCCAGACCTGTGCATTTACGTTTGTACGTGCGGATATGTTTTTTGTTGGAGGGGGGGGGAATGTTATGTACTTGGGTGTAACTTTATTTTTTGCACTAAAGAAACATTTTTTTTACTTAACTTTTTTTCCCCCCCATCACATAGGGGACACAAAGGTTCTCTTTAATGAGACATGCAGGGTCTAGAAGTCCCTGCATGTCTCCTCTGGGTGCTACTAGATGTGTTGCAATGCATATTGCATTGCAATAGTTTCCTCACCAGCTAGAATAGCATCACAGTACTGACCCAATAGCGTGATAGCGGTGACCCGGAAGCGACACCATATACATCACCTTCCAGGTCACATCAAGAAGGGGAGGAGAGCGGTTTGTCCTCTCTCCTGTCCACTTGCCAGCACCTGCCCTGTCAGTCCCTAGCCCGCAGATGAGCAAGCGGAGCACTGTTACGGGGGCTGTGGAAGCAGGTGCCCATCTGATTCCACCTGACAAGCAGAAGACTGCCTGTCTTTTTTTTTTTTTATTAAACACAATCCCAGTGACTGCAACCACCAGATGGTGTATAAAAACACTCCAGCTGTCAGCAGCGAAAGGGTTAAGCATGTGTGCATAAAATGCAAAGACAGCTCTGGCAGCAAAAGGGTTAAAGCCGGCAGTGGACAGCTTCTACAGCATAGATGTAAAGTAAACTTCCACATCTCTACAGGATGAGAATTACATTTGCCTTCCTTTTCCCAGAAGGGGTATAGAAGTCCCAAACCTAACTGTGGCTTACAAATGCTGGTTCTCCAATAGAACCATTCAATAGGAGAAAGTTATTAAATAAGTTCTACTGAACAGACTGTGGTATACAGGAACAAAAAGTTTTCCAGTTAGGGCTCGTTCACACTTGAATTTATTTCTAACTCTTGCCAAACGCCCCTATAGCGTTTGACAGGTGTTAGGTGTTTGTGAAGCGTTTTTAACGCTCCTCATAAGCTCCCCAAACGCCCCATGCATGGTTTTGAGGTGGTTGATAGGCATTTGCCAAGCGTTTAAAACCTCACCACAAACGCCTATAATGAAGTTAAATGGTCTTAACGCTCTGCAAACGCCTCGCAAACCGCACACGCCAGCCAGGCGTTTGTGGAGGGGCACCATAGACTTGATTGGGAGGCTTCAACTCCTCCTGACTTGACACGAGGCATCTGTTTTTCCGCAAGGCAACGCTTCATTGTGAACAACACTGTGTGTTGCCAGGCGCAGAATTTTCTTAGGTGTTTGAGAAGCGGTAAAACTGCTTCCCAAACGCCTGTCTGACACCTGCTGACAAAGCTAGTGTGAACTGAGCCTTACTCCTGAAGCAGCCAGTTTTCGGAATGTGTATACCCTGCTTAAAGTGGAGCTTTACAAAAAAAAAAAAAATAATAATAATAATAATAATAATAATAATAATAAATATATATATATATATATATATATAAATAAATAAATAATGTTCTCTAGCAAAGAACATGCATTCCATATTAATAATTATGCTACTAACATCAGTGTGTGCTGTAAATTGCCTCCAGCAGATCATCCGCTACATTTTCAGTGCCAAGAATAGAGAGCAACTGAGCATAGGCAGAGCAGTATGAGAGTGTATTATTGGATTTTAAACAGTATAGGCACTTATTAACTTTTACATAGCTATACCTGCTAAAGGGGACAGCTTGAAGAGACCTAGCAGGACTTAACCTCCCTAATGGTCCATATTTCTGTGCTCAAAGCGGTACATTTTTTTGCATGGAAATATGTCGTTTTTTTATTGTAGGCCTGTAATTTTTAGGAATAACTCACTGAAAAAATCTGTCCGAACAAGAGTTTAGTAAACATCCTGGGTAGGATAAAACTTGAAACACGAAATCATAAATTATAAATTTAATAAATCATAAAAAATAATATAATAAATTTAATTCAATATAATCAAACCAAAAACACTGAAGTTCGCACATCACTGAGCAAAGTTGCAAAATCGTTTTCAGTGTCTGATGACGAATTTCCCCACAAATCATTTATCACTCAATTCTGCAAGTGGTTCTGATTTACTATCGCTGTTCTCTAGCTGGTCTAAAACCGCTTTTGACCTAAAGGGACGCTTTTTGGACACTATGGACGTTTCTCAGTTTCCAGGCAATAAGAACAGTAAAAATGCAGGCAGGGCACAGGACAAAGCACTCGGGACAAAATGTATGTGAAATGGTTTGATACAGTAATGTTTTACTATGTGATTTTAGTGAATGTCACTTTTTGTCATTTTCAAATTTCCCGCTGTTCCATCCCCCGTACGTCCCGACGCTCGCAGGGAACGGAACCCAGATGACAGATGCCCGCATCTGCCGGATTACATTGCCGGGAACACTGCAGGAGGGACATCGTGGGAGCGCAGGACAAGGTAAGTGATCGAGGGATCGCGGAGAAGCGCCGCATGGTAAGCCCGAGTGTAGCTCGGGGTTACCGCTTGTGGTACTGAAACTTTACCCCGAGCTACACTCGGGAATACCGCCAGGGAGGTTAAAGTATAAGTTCACCTTTGGAACATGTTCCATCCGTTTTTAGAAGGAAAACATGTTCCCATAGCCCGCCCCCGACAGATAGTATGTGGCTCCGCCCACATCACTCATTCACAGTGTTCTGTGAAAGAGTGCCTACAAGTCCCCAACATCCTTAGTGGCTGTGGGTTTGTAGTTTTCAATGAACTACCACAGTGCTGTGGAGCGCCGTGGTAGTTCATTGAAGCTTCCTGTCAGTATGTCTGCTTCCTCATGCATCCTGTATGGCAAGCAGATATTCTAACAGGTCTGCAAGAGACCTGCATGGCAACAGAGATCTACCGATCACTGGTGTAATGCTTTACAGGCTCCTCTGGGCAAAAATAATAAATGCACATTTTTTTACCTGCAAAAAAAAAAATGTGCATTATTGTATGACTTCAGTTACACTTTAACAAAGACGGTGGGCAGGGGTGGGGTCAAAGGGGGCTTTAGTTCATTTGTAATAAGGCCAGCTCAAAATAGCACCATACCAGTCCCTGTTGGGTCTCCTCCTTGCACCATAAAGTCTTTAATGATGCGGTGAAACTTCGTCCCATTATAATATCCTCTTCGGGACAGCTCTGCGAAGTTCTTACACGTTCTGGGTGCGTGATTCCAGTACAGCTCCACCGTGATAGAACCCATGCTGAAGAAATACAATAGAGAACAACACCCGTGAGTCCACTGCTGACACCGCAACTTTCATTTCTCCCTCTCGTAGCCTCACCTTGTCTCCAAGCACACAACGTTCGGCCGCCAATTATCCCCGGGAATCACCGCCATTGTTTGAATCGCACACTAGGCAGCAGAACATGTGACTTCCGTCTACACTTTCTTCCGCAACACTCCCAGAGCTCAAGTTAGAGCGACATCCAGAGGCGAGATCAGTCCTTTCCAGCAGCACAGTGTCAGTTTATCTGTGCCCAAGCGTACACCTGTCGACTACAGAGATGGACGGAAGTTTGTGAATTCCTGTGCCGCGGATTTAAATGAAAGGGGGCTCAGCGCCATAGCGGTGTAAGCTGAGGACTAATGTGATAGAGTCTGAGCTGACTGGAACTGGTTGTGGTGTCCGCCTCAGGGAGGATTGAATGTTTATATCTTTAATAGCATCCTCCTCACATTGGCGAGCATTAACAGGTACACTATATTACCAAAAGTATTGGAACACTTATACACACGTATAAACTTTAGTTCTTTAATTCTTTCACAAATGTGTGTAGAAGCAGTCTGTATGCCTAGGTGCTTGATTTTATACACCTGTGGCCATGGAGGTGATTGTAACACCTGAATCCAATGATTTGGAGGGGTGTCCCAATACTTTTGGCAATATAGTATATATTAAAAGCCTGTGTCATATGACTAGGATGCTATAGAAAGTGTACACATACTAGCAGAATACATTTTACTTGCATGCTTTCCATGCACGTAACTGCAATGTCACCCCAATGCACTAAATGCCATACACCTGTGCTGAAATGTGCTCCAACGCAGGACTATGAGTTTTGTTTTTGAAAAGGTTACAGGTGCAGTTTTAGCTATGGTGGCAGTCCATTCAAAATAAATTCCCTGTCTTAACGCAATGCGCCTGCCTCTCTCTCTCCCCCCCCCCCCCCCCCCCTTCCCATGGAAGGGACGCTTAGGACAGGGGCAAAAATTTAGAAACCTACTACAGGACAATTTTATGGTACAGTTCATAGAGGCCCCAACTAGGAATGATGCTCTGCTCTACCTGGTAATCTCAAACCATGCGGAGATTACCTTACCTGTGTCCCACTTCAATCCGGTCCACGACGGTGCTGCTGGAGGAGAGGTAGAGAGGGTGTCTGACGTCCTCATTTCCCAGGGGATGATCATGGATCAGATGCCGGCACGATGTGGGTGGGAATTTTCCTTCTGGGTGACATGCCCATGGGACCACTGGTCGGCCTATGGCAGCCTGTCCCTCCTCGCTAGATCTGTAGCTTAGGGAAAGCACACATGCAAAGAGGAGGATCCAAGTGGAAGCATGAGGAGGCTGATCAGAATGAGGGAGCGTCCGGAGCTGGTGAAGAGGAGGAGAGTGGCGGGACAAGGAAGACAGCTGATCGGTAAGGTGGTTGTGGCGGGATTTAGGGAGAGCAGACGGTGCTGCTGCAGCCAGGTATGCTGGCTGTGGATGGGACAGGGAGGCAGCCTGGGCTGGAGCAGGGGTCAGCAATGTAAGCATCATTGGTGTCAGTGGGAGGAATAGTGCGCCATCATTAGTGTCAGTGTGGGAGGAATAGTGTCACTGACACCAATGATGAGGCACTATTTCTCTCACTGACGCCGATGGGGCACTATTACTCCCACACTGACACCAATGATGGGGCACCAACGGAAGGCGGGTTCTCAGACGGCAGGCTGACCGGTTTGGATACTGGCAGGATGGTACTGGTTTGAAAGAATTTTCGCTTCTTGGGTTTAGTTACTGAAGCACTGTAAGTACAGGTCTGTAAACGGATGGAGCAGCTGAAGACAGGGAAGAGCTGGAGGATGGAACAGAGTAGGGAGCAGTTGCTACAGAGGACTTCTTTACAGGGTTAAAGGCAGGATATGTGCAGCGCGTGGGAACAGGGTACTGACATGTGGTTGATAGCATGGTATACTGTGCTGTAACTGGAGGTGCTGTCGGGAATGAAGGAATAGAGGTTTAAAGAAATAGGTTAGAAGCAGGACTGGGTTTTTGCAAGCTGAGTGAGGCTGGGTGTAACAAATCTGACCATGTCTGTAATACCGGTTGAACAAAGCTCAGCTTACAGATAGCCTGTCTGACCAAAGACTGCACTGCGTTTATGCAATCCATAAGCACATGTGATGGACAAGCTGCATAATGCTCATGGAAGCAATCTGGATGATCCTCCAACAACCATTTCAGTGATTCCACTTGATCTGCACTAAATGGAAAAAAGTCATCCCTGCTTTCAGTGGTACAGGACAGAGCCAACTCAGCACAAACCTGGATCAATGGCTGCACCTCAGAAAACTCCGTACCCCGATCCACAAGTGAATGAGCAACTTGTATGCATTCTAGCAGCTGATCCCTGGTATACTCCTTCAGAATCTGATTGCCATATTCTCTGTCTTCTAAGACTAACAGTGACATGTACACAACCTCCTCAGGATGCATCCTTCACAACAAGCCACTGTGCAGCCACTTCTGGTCAGGATTGGCCTTGGTGTAATGTCAGGGCTCCTGGTATGACCAGAGATGTGTGAACTGACACAGGGAAACGCAGGCTCAAGTATGGTGTAACAATATAGTTTATTAAAGGCTATATACAAATATAAAACGCAAAATATATACAAAACCAAAACTCCAACTGATAACGGAATGTACACAGAAAAGAGCAGTCAGGGCTGGTGAGGTGGAGTGGTCAGGCAGGCCGGGTCAGGAACCATCGGGCAGACAAGACGCAAAGGAGCAGGCAGAGCGTAGTCAGACGGGCCAGGTCAGGAACAATCAGGCAGACAAGGTACCAAAGGAGCAGGCTGGAAAGTGGTCAGGAATAGCCGGGGTCGGTGCAGGCAGAGTTCTATCAAAGTAGGGCAGAGGGATCAGGAAGGCAGACGAAAGGATCAGGCACAGGGGCTCATGGGCACAATACACCAAGGCACTGACTGCAGGCCTAGCCATTGCTTAAATACACCTCCTGAAAGCACCCGCTGGCCAGCCCTGGTACTGCAGCTCACACGGCAGGTGTGTAATTTCCTGACAGTGTGGGAGAGGCTGTGTGAGGAGATGCTCTGCTAAGAAGGCCCGAAAGCCTGGGGCTTGCCTGCCCCAACCCAGCCCAAGTGGGATGTCAGTCCCTGGGCCTGGTTCTACTGGCCTGAAGGCCCCAAAGCCTGGGACCTCAGGTGATTTATCCGGCTTGGACAGGATGGAAGACCCTGGGCCTAGTCCTGGAAAGAAGAAAGCCCCAAAGCTTGGGACCCCAAGTGCCCTGCCCGGCCCAGGCAGGAAGGAGGGACCTGAGCCTGGGTCCAGCAAGGTTAGTACCCCCGGAGGGACCTAGTACCGGCCTCCATATCCCAGCAGTGGAGGACCTGGGAACAGCCCCAAAGACGGGAAACCTATGCCGCATATCGGGACCGTGTGGTTGTTCAGGCCCGGCTGATTGAGAGGGAGGAAGCTAAGCTGCAAAAGCTCTCATTAGAGCTAAAAAGGCTTCGGGCCTCTTATGCCCGGGTTTGGTCTAACAAGAGGCAGGCCATGAAGCCAGGCCTGGAGATCCTGGAGCTCCAGGTCTCCCAGCAGGGACGTTATGTTGCTGCACTGCAGCGGAAGAGTGGGGCCTTGTCGGAGAAATATCTGCATGAGGCTAGATTTAAGGCTGCAAGAGGCCGCAGAGTGGCAGCATTGCGGGGGCCAGTGGAAGGGATCTCCTCTGTAGCAGGCCTGTCAGAGGAGCAGCTGGTGGAAGGAGAGAAGGAGCAAAGGCAGGATGCATCTGCTCCAATGGAAGGAGACATGGTGTCTGCTAATGTGCAGGATGGCACGGGCGCTGGATTGCAGGAGTCCCCAGGGCAGCAACCCGTGGATTGGGGGACCCAAGTGGAGGAGGCAGAGTCAGCGGGAGAGCTCAGTTTTGTGTCAAGGGAATTTACGGAGTTCCGTGAATCAGACTTCCAGTTCACGACGAAAGAGGAGGAAGTGACGTCGTTCCCAGGAAGCCAGCCAAGATGGTGGTGCAGGACTGCGCCACGTACGTGAAGCTTGAGTGCATCCCTAAGGAGGTGGTCGCCAAGGCTGGTGAACTGCCTGGTGGTAATGGACAGGACTCTGCTAGGGTAAGGTAACTTTGGGCGCTGGGGCAGCGGGCAGCGCCCCCGAGGGTGGGATGGTGGCGCATGTTGACCCAGTGGCCCGGGTGGATGAGGTTTCTTCCCCGGAGGTAGTCCTGCTGGGCTCCGCCCCCTTGGTGATTGGGCAAGCCCCTGCTAGGGGATCTGTTGGGCAAGTTCCTGTGTCGGGGGTCTCCAATCCTCAGGGTCAGGCCCCAGAGGGCCGAGTTCATAAGGTTTCTGTCCCTCAGGTTGGGGTGCCACAGTCTCGGGGTCCCGTGCCCTCTGTTTCAGCTTCCCCTGCTCCTGGTGGTAGTGTGGGGGTCCCTTCAGTTCCGGCTCCCCCTGCAAGTGCCCCTGGGTCCGGGGCTGCTATTACTCAGCAGCGGTTAGGGGTACTGTGGGACCAATGGGGTCTGCCAGGGCAAGGGCGGGTAACTTACCCACCTCTGCGGCTCGCCGCAACGTGGTCCAGATAAAATGGACAGGGGAGGGCCCCCCCTGGGGAGGAGGGAAGTGGTAGACAGAATCCTGGAGATGGGTTTCAAAGCCAGTGAAATCTTTGCTTTTATAGCCCCTGTGGGAACAGGGGAGTATGATGTCTCCTTTGTGAAGCCGGAACACCTGGATCTCTTTTGGCAGAGGTTTGAGGCTACCTATATCTCTAGCCCCAGGTGGGCAGGCTTATCCCCCAAGCTTGTGTCCCGCAAGTCATTGGTAAAGAAAATACCAAACTGGTTCGGAATGAATCTATCCCAGCAGCAGACATCCTGGTGTGGTTAGGCCAGTTTGGGGAGGTGCTTGGGCCCTTGCATAAGGCGGTTGACAACAGGGGGATTTGGATGGGTGGGTGGACTACCACCATTCGCCTGAAGATGGAAGGTAATGTTATACAGCACGTCCCTTCTTCCGCCTTCCTGGGTAAAGACCGGCTGGTCATATTCTACGTGGGTCAACCCAGGGTATGCCACAGATGTGGGATGAAAGGGCACTTTGTGGCCACCTGTCCGGTACAGCGCTGCTCATTGTGCCAAGAAATTGGGCACCTGGCTAAGGACTGCACGGTCATACGGTGCAATCTTTGTGGTAAGGTGGGCTACTCATACAACAGGTGCCTGGAGGCTTTGCACAATCTCCCTGAGAGGGAACGGATTCAGGAGTTTGACAGGATGGATGCAGAGGAGGCAAGGGAGTCACTGGTTGAGAAGGCCGCGGCGCTTGTGGCAACCCTTGCAAGGGAGGTCGGGCCTGCTGATGCTGCAGCTGCCTCTGCCCCATCTGGCTTGGTCGAATCCCCTGTCCCCCCCTCTGGTGGGCCTATTCCCCCCCTAGAGTTAAGAAAAACCTGCTTAAGGAAGCTGCTAAAGGGGCTGGGGAGAGGAAGGCTGTAAGCGGGTCTAGTTTGGCTATGACAGCTCCCCCTGTGCTCTTACCACTGCGGAGGGAGAAGGCAGGTCAGGGGTCCCAAGATCCCATCCCGGGAGGGGTGCAGGTGGAGGAGGGATTGTCCCTGGTGTCCCTTGGAAGTCACTGGAAGCCTGTGCTGTCTTCAGCAGGGTTGGTTTCCTCACTGGAGGTGGAGGAAGTGGCCTTGGAAAATCGGTTTGGGGCTCTATCGGGGGAGGATATGTCCAGTGGTCATGCCACCCCGATGGAGGATGTGGGGGGGGGTCTCTCAAAAGAGGTAGGGATCCTGCCAAAAGGGCTAGGAGGAGGGTTAAGAAACATCCCTCTCAATTATCTTAATGGCAGTTCCCGCTCCGATAAAGGTGGCAACCATTAATGTTGCCAGCCTGAAGTCTGTAAGTGCTAGAGAAACAGCCTTATTTTTGATCAGTGGGATGGAAGCTGATATTTTCTTTTTGCAGGAGACCAGGTTGCCCACCTTGGCTGATGTCCATCTGGTCAAGCGTGAGTGGAGGCGTGGGCCCTCCTACTGGTCTCTTGCGGCTGAGCCTTACAGCGGAGTTGCGGTGCTTTTTACCAGCATGGTAACGTGTCGGCGGATAATTGAGGTAGAGATTGGAAGATGTCTGATTCTGGATGTTCTCGTAAGGGGGCAAGAGCTCCGTCTCATTAATATCTATGGCCCACAGTCCAAGTGGGACAGGAAGAACCTCTTTGCGAGAATTAAACCTTACCTCTTTACATCCCGGCTGGTGGTCTTTGGAGGTGATTTTAACACCATCACTAGGCCCAAGGACAGGAGAGGCTTTACTGACAGGCTGGGATATGACAGCGTTTTTCTAAATGCTATAGTCAGGGAGGCAGGTCTGGTTGACGCTTGGATTCAAAGTGTCCCAGATGGCACGGGTTTCACCTATAGGAGAGGTAACTGCCAGAGTAGGATAGATAGGATAGACACTCGGCCCCTGAATGTCGGGCGGTGGAGTTTTCCGATCACCTTATGCTATCTGTCACCTTGAATATTTCAGACATGCCGCTGAGAGGAAAGGGCATCTGGAGGATGAATTCGTCTCTGCTGGAGGACGAGGAGGTGAGACGATCTTTCGAGGAGTTCTTTTAGGCACAGGAGATGGTGCTGTATTTCTGTGGCAGTAAGTCTGAGTGGTGGGAGCTCACCAAAGTGCGGATCAGCAGGTTTTTCAAGGCCATTGGTAAGAGACGGCAGTTTAAACAGTATGACACCTACCAGCGGTTGCGGAGGAAGCTCGACCGCCTTGTTTCTAGCGGTGGAGATTTGGGGGCAATCTTGGAGGTAAAGCTTCTCCTTAGGAAACTCCAGTATGATCGGCGTGCCTCTTTGGTTCTGGAGAGGGATTATGGGAAATACCACTTGCCCAACCCTTTCCAGAATTGCAAACGGAGTGCAGCAGTTAAGACGATCTCTGCTCTGAGGGATAGTCCGGGTCCCTGACTAAATCCAGGTCAGGGATTCTGGAGGTCTCCAGGTCCTCCTTTTATGCGGATTTACTGAGTGAGAAGCACCTTGACCAGACAGGGATGTGGAGCTTTTTGGAATCCACGCCGGTCTGGACAGTGATATCCATCTGGCAAGTTTGACTGGGAAGATTACTGCAAAAGAGGTATCCAGAGCGATTGATAGTCTGGCCATTAAAAAGACTCCTGGGCCAGATGGTCTGACAGCCAAATTCTTTTAGGCTTTTAAATCCTGCCTGGCATCTCGTCTCGCGGAAGTGTATAACAGCTGTCTGGATGAGGGATCTC